TAGACACTCAGTCTCATAACCCAAAACATTTTTTCCAAGGTGTCAGAGCATGAAATTCATCAACAAAGTGATAGTTAATTCTCCAACTTTACTACCCATTGAAATCACTTGGGAGCTTTTACAACCACCCTTCCTGGCTGGGTTACACCCCCAGAGCTGCTGCTGAGCAGCCTGGGCATCAGACCTTTGGTCAGCTCCCAGGTCCATGGACCCCGCAGCCCCTGCTGAGACACACTGCTCCGGAGAATCAGAACTTTGTTGATTCCACGTTTATCATTGTGATCACACTGGATGCCCTGTGAGCACGGGAGGTTAATTTGGGTTTTCTGTCTGTTCTATGCAAAGGACACTGCACAAATCACTTAAGGGGGCAGTTAACACGTCACTTGTGCAGTTCTGGTCCTGAATTAGAAACAAAGAACTCTATTTTGTATTTACCCTACAGTAATTCTTGGCATAATAAAATCACCAACAAGACTCAGTATTGAAAATCATAGTGTTTTTCATTCCAGAAAATCAACTCTATTTCAAGGATCAATCCTCACACTACTATTCATAAAAAATTTCTTTGGCAAGAAATTTAAAAATTGTCAATTGGGTTAAAAGATGTCAAGGTCAGATATCTAGCATATTTGCACTTGTTTAGAATGTCCAGTAGGTCACTGTAATGTTCAGTAACCTATAATAGGACACAACACAAGTTATTTAGCTTAATCAGAGTAATTTCTGGAATTTTATATTCTCTTTGATAGCAGTTTCCCTGACAAAGCTTCATTTTAAGAGCTACAAGTCCTTCAAAGATCTTCAGTATAGGAAAGGCATTGTTTCCTTATAGGAAATCTGGATGTGGATCAGGCAGAATTTGGACTACTGTCCTCAAGACATTGAGGTAGAAGTGTCAATACGTCAGTTGGCTGTGCTGTCAGGAAACGTAAATCTGCAAGTCTGCACACAGAGAAAATATCTGATGCTATGGGCAAGCTGAAGAGTTCTAGGAAAGAAGGGAAATGAGAAGTGGGGGGCTCCAACATGCACGATTAGACACAAGAAGATCTCAGCTGAAAGGGAAAAGTGCAATAAACACACCTTTCTGTCAATCAATCCATGCTTATTTCTAATGTAAAACTTGGAATGCGATTTCTAAGTGAGAGAGCATTTACATACACTGTACTGACATTTCATATGGCTTGGCTCTATCACCCCACCTCTCTGCCTCCTTTGAAAGTCATAGAGGTGGTATTTCTGCTAATAACATTTTATGTGTTAAAGAAAAAACCTCATACCTACCACAAGAATCATTTAAAGTTCTCTATCCCAGAACTTACATTTGTAGTCCTTATGCTATATATTAAGCCTGTGTGATGGAAAAGATCATTTTTCACGAATTAAACCAATTTAGATGATGAAAAATCAGAGCATTTAAAATCTCTCAGTCCATACTGATAGCTTTTTAGAACACTTTTGCTACCATTCTTTGTCCTTACCAGCACTGAATCTGATCTCTGTCAATTTGATTCATAAAATATTATCCAATTATCTCAGATAGCTGTATGAAATAACTTACCTTATAGAACCATAAATGGTGCTGCTATATAAATGAGACCGAAAGACTTCCAAACACAGAACTGGGTTCAAACTCAAACCATTTAGAAACCATAATAAGTACCCCATAATCTCACTGAACTAAGTTGAAATAAAAATATGGTTATTTATTTCAGACCCTCCTTCAAAGAACAAAGCTTCTGACGAGGTGGTCCTAAGTCCACTGAGCTGTGTGGTTCAAGCCAAACTCTTCACAAATCTCTCTGCTAGTAAGGACTACCAGAATGCAGCTCAGTGACACAGACTCAGGGTAATTGCACTGTCAAATTTAGGTAGGAATTTCAGTAACATCTTATTAATGATTCTAGCATGGCTTGGAAAATGGGCAAGCAATGCCTAACATATTTTTGGTCACACAATTAGCGTAGATTCACATGTAGTCTAAGGCCATACCACCCTGAACACGCCCATCTCATCAGATTCACATGTGAATTTATTGATATGAACTCTATTTTCTGGTTATCTCAAGAATAAAACATCCTACCTGTGCAGGTACCCTCCTTAAATTCAATGTTCAAAATTTTTTCACCTCACTACCTAATGTTAATGACCAGATCAACCTTCATTACAATTTATATCTTTCTTACTGGTTGTACATGTCTTGGTTACTTTTCTTTCCTGAGACAAAATATTCAACACCCAAAGTTAAAGTGGGAAAGGTTTATTTAGCTCACAGTTTGTAGAGGTTTCAGTCCATAATTGGCTGGATCCAAAGCAGGGTGGCACATGGCAGAGGGCAACAGTTCCTGGTGATGGAAAACAGCAAAAGCAGCAAAAGGAGAGTGAGGCAAGCCACTTCCTGTCCCTCAGGTAGTATCCAATCTATGGGGATTAGGATGATAACAATCCAACCAATGACTGATCAGGAATCACCCACCCTTAATCCCAGCATTGCACCGTCAATTAATTACCCACTCTAGAGTCTGCCACCTCCAAAAAAGTCCTGATAACATAAGATTTTAGGGGGGGATCTTATGCTAACAGCACACAATTTTCTTAAAAGTGTAACATTTCTACCCCTACAAAAACTAAGGGACTCCACTTTTACTGGATCAAGTTAGTTGGCTTTGCCTGCGATGAACTTGCTCCAACAGTTGTCATGATATATGTGTTGCTTCAAGTTTCCAGCTTCAAGTTAGACTCTTGCTTAGAGATGCTTTCTTTGGAGAGAGGGCAAGGGTTGCGGGCTCTAGAAGGGGACAGCTTGGATTTGAATCCCAGGATGAACCTTTTACCATTTTCCAAGATCCCAGTTAAGTTATTTAACTATAGAGAGGTGATGCCAGTAGCACCTAAGGCATCATCTATAGAGAGGTGATGCCAGTAGCACCTAAGGCACCTAGGCAACTGGTTAGGCACTGTAAGTGCTGCCGTCATCCTTTCGCACGTTTGGTTTTATTACTGATTTTTGTTTGTGTACACACACTGTTAAGCATGTGAATCTGTCCACATAAATTTCAGCCCCCTCTCCCTCCAGTAAATAAATACGCCATAGCGTTTTCACTCCTACTGCTCCTGCTTCTCTATCTCACCTCTCCAATGGGAGACTGGAGAACCAATTTTACAAGGCTGAGGTCAGGAGACAGATCTGAAAAACAAAGGAGCCCCTGGCAGCTGTTGGGGGAGGCATTCTGAGTTCAGCTAGAAACTGGAAATGATGTCTTTCCAGCAGTAAGGAGCACGAATATTACTTGTGTTTTCAGTGTCTCGCTATGAGGTTCAGGCTGGCCTGGACCTCACTTGTAGCCCAGGCTGGCCTCGAACTCCCAACGATCCTCCTGCCTCAGCCTCCCAGGTGCTGGGATTACAGGCGTGCGCCACCACGTGCACTCTTTTAAAAGCACGCAACAATTGGCAGCGAGGTCTGCAGCTGGAATTTCTACAATCCAGAGCGCAGAGAGGGCTTAGCAGAAATAGGACTAGCTGAGGCTTGGCTCCCTGGTCCTTGGGAGCCGGATCTTATCAGCCTGGGCTCCCTCGGTCCAGGCCATGCCCTGCAGAGGGTTGGACTAGGACCAGGGTCCTAACGGCTGTGGGACTTTGTACCTCTAACTCCCAGGAGTTGAGCTGGGTAGAGGGAACTGGAATCTGCTTAGCTTGGGGTGCATAACACTGGGAGCGGGGTGGGGTGGAGTTGGGGCGAGGAAGAAAGACGTTGTTACCCCCTCCTCCGCATTGTTACCTGGGCACTTCCTGTAGCGTCACAAAGGTCCCGGCTCACCTGGGGAGGGGAGGGGAGGGAGGAAAGGGGAGCGGAGGGGAAGGTGCCGGGAAGGGGCAGCACCTTTCAGCCGGCACGCCAACAGCACCCCGGACTAGGCCTGCACATGCTGCCCTGAATTCTTTCATTTATATTAACACGTGTTTGCAGCACATAACAATTACATTCGCCATGGCGAGTGATTTCTTAAACTGGCAAGCAAAGCTTTGCTTTAAGCAAATCCCCGACAGTATCGCTGCTCCAGTCTACTAAATAAAAGGCGAATCACCTTTGCTTCGCTGGTCTTTCTCTCGCACTTCCTGTATTTCCCTCGCTAGTGTTTCAAGAATCTTCCCCTTCTCCCCTCACCCCTGTGACTTCAGGCCGAGGCCTGTGGAGACCTTTCTCTTCTTGGGGTCCCTCCTGGCGGCCTCCCTGGCCCGCCCTCACTGCCTTAGACCTGTGGTACCTTGGGAACCTCTTTGCACCTCTCTGCAGCTGCCAGCCAGGATCTCACCTGGCTGAGCCCTGTCCTTTCTTCTTCATTCTGACCTAGCAACAAGCTGCCCCATTACAATGCAGACGCTTCCGCAGGGGTAGGCAAGCTTTTCTACCACCCAATTAGAACCATTCTACCGCTAGTTTTCCTGAAAATTCACACCAGTTTCAGAGGGAAGCTGATATAGTATAATCAGGGAACCTCTGGCCCAGGCTCACACTTTCCCACTTTACCTGGTCGGGTCGGGGTGAGGTATTTGGCTTGTAAAGTCAGTGAAAGGAATTGTAGATTGCAATATAAACACTACACGGTACAAGCAAAGATTTCCTAAGTCTTTACCAAAATCTGCAAAAGACTGGGGAAGATTTAATTTACAACTTATAGTAAAAATAGCCTCCTTCCATCTGCCCTTGTCTCTTCAGAGCCCCGTCATATATATGTATATATGTATATTTGTATATATGTATAATTTCACATAAATGTTCCTTTTGATTTTTCCTCTCCTACTTCCTGCTTCCGAAAACTTTCTCCCACAACTCAAACACAACAAATCTTTTGGCTTCTCGAATATGTAGGTCTACCTTCACCTGTTGGAACTGAAGAAGATATGGTTATTCTCATTGTAATTTATCTTAAACCTCAAATGTTCTTTTGTAAGCTGTTTAAACTGTCAATAAATAGAGACGTGTCACTAGAGGAGGAGATGGACAAACTCCAACTTTATTGACATGACAAAGCAGTCAATCATCATGTCTTCCTAATTTCTATTTCTTTAAGGTTTGTTCCCTTTGAGTTTTCCTAAGACGCAAGACGCACATGTTAACCTCTCTAGTATAGATGCACTGTCCAGATGCACTTTTAGAACTACACATCGTTACATTTTTACAGTCCAGCACACTATTGACTTCATAATTATCGTCGGTTTCTGAAAAATAAAAAAATACAAAAATAGTTGTTTTTGTGGATATATTCACAAAGTTCTAGTAGAAATTTTAAATATCAAGTTTTATTGGATAATATGGATAAGAATGGCCTGCAGCAAAAAACAATTTTAAATCATATTTAAGGATGTATTTTAGAAGGGACTGAGGGACTGCAGGTGTAGCTGACTTGGTGGAGAAGACCAACTGACCTTCCTTTGGAATGAACGCCACCATGACCGGACTATCAACAGGACAAAGGCCAACACTGGATCTTTGGGAAGTGTGTTGGTGAATATCGTACCGTGTTGAGTGGCCTGCTGTGTCAGGCGGGTGAGGGTCAGAGGTGCAATTTCTCAGAAAATGACCTCTTCTACATGATTTTTAGCTGAAATTCATGACAAAGGTTTCCTCTACCCTCTGCTTTCAGCTGCTTCCCTTACTGGTCATTCTGGAATATAACATCTTCACCGCTCTGAATTTCTGTTATCTGGGCTGATTTTCCTCTGCTGGAATCTTCTTACTAATCATTTAATTTAAAATAAAACTCACTATGTGCAATTTGTAAGCTTCTGTATATGATCGAGAACAAGGAAAGAATATGTATACAAAGAAAGGTAGATGGACGAAAATTAAGTAGGAAAAGGAGTAAAAAGGAAAGAAGAAAGAGTGGGCTTTTTCTCTGTTGCCTTCATCGTCCACCAGTAGGTGGGACTTAGCATCACCATGCCCAGGACATACCCACAAACTTCCTTCTAGTCTCCAGGCTTCCCTTGAATGTCTAGCTGTCACTTCAACATAACCATTTCTAAAATTATTTCTGTGGGCCTCATACCCATATTGGCTCATTTTCCTCAAAATTCACCTTTCTATAAGTTTCTAATCCAGTCGTCCTAATCCCTTCTGTGCTGTTATTAACTCTTCCTCTTCTCTCCTTGATATCAACAGTGTTTTTGTCTTCCTGATAGTTCCTTTCTCCTCCACCCTTTCCTTTCTTATTCTTAACCCAATCAGGCCATTATTACTTCACAAGTATTTGCAGTTCTAAATTCTAATAACTTTACAATTCCAGTAACTTTCACTGCTTGAAGATATTCCGTATGAAAGGAATTACTGAAAGGAGTAAATTAAAATTCCATAAAAATAATAACATGGAAAGTAATAAGCATGAACATTTCTTATATATTTTCTATGTGTCAGGCGATCTCAAGAGGAAACTTATGTGAATTAACACATGCAAGGCTCATAGTTAAACTCTATGGAATCATTAGTCTGAGAAACAGGAGAGTGGAAATAAAAATCTGCATAGTATACTGGTAGCTAGAGGACCTGGAATCGAGACCATTTGAAAAACGAGGGGGCAAAGGAGAAAAATCTCTCAATTTCCCTTCTTGGAAATGATCTAATATTCTAAGGAATTTTGCATGAAATAGGGAATGTTGAAATTCTCCAAATCCTATTCTCAAGAAGTCATTTGTAAATAAAAAATTCATCTATTTAGTGAATTTATTCAACAAATGTCACTTCTTAAGAATCATTGTCAAGGACGGTCATTTGTCACTTTGTACAATCTAAATCTGCTTCACTCCTTCCCTTACCATTACTAAAGTCTTACCTGAGGCAGAGATCAGAGCAAGGAAGAGAAGAGCTAGGAAACAGCGATGAACGATCATGGCAAAATTGCTCTGAAACAGCAGAGTGTCTCAACAAGATAAACCAATAGAAATGGAGATGACTTTACAATCAGAATTTCTCTACATAAAGGCATTCGTAGTTGATCAGGACCTTACATACTTTGGTCTTCTTAGCTTTGTGGGGAGCCACTTCCCACCACTTTTGTACCCTTCTGTTTGTTGAGCTCATACTATGACATGTGCGAGCCCTTGTTACATCTCCACAGCACCTTTGCTCATCTATTTCCCTGCACACTGTCCGTGTACTTCTGCCTCCAGTGCCTGACCTTGTGGCCCTTTATCACTTAGAAGTTCTGTACCTCCATGGACCCCTCCTGTAGCGGAAAATGCCTCCCCCCAGCCAGTACACTTCAGTTTCTTAGTTGCCCACATAATGGTTCATGTTCCAGTTCCGGTTGCTCTTGTCTCTTAGAAACAGCTGGTCCCTATGATGCATATCGTATAACCCAATCCCCAATTGACAAGCCATTCTGCTTCAGTACTTCCTGCTTGTGTATCCCATTATGAGCTCTAGACCACCAGAGATCAGGGCCTGATATTCTGGGAATGATGCTGATCAGTGCCTGTCGACATAAATAAATCTGCCACCAAATCCTGGGTGTTGTTTCAGATTTTCTGCTTGCTATCACACTTGGAGATAGAAACTCCTTGCTGGACACCATTTGCGCTGTCTCTATGTACCTGCTTTCTCTCCTGGCCATTGTGAGCACTGAGCTTAATGCCCCTTTGAGGTTATTAGCAAATGTGAATCGTCACAACCCTCAGCTCAACTTCCTGTCCTTCTATTCAAAGCTAATCAACACTGTTGAAAGTCCTCATGGGATATATGATGTCATGCTCATCTGCTTTCAACTATTCCTTGCTGCTGCTTCCCCGTTAAGTGTGAGTTGCCCAGGAAAAGGGAAAGGTCTGTAGCTTTTCTGATCATGTGCCTAGCACAGAGTCTTAGGTTGATAGTTATTCAGAGAAGTTTCTAGAACAATTAAACATCTTCCTTCTCCCCAAATTTTTGTTTTACTATTTTATTGATTCCTCTCACACCATGGTGGCTGTCCATACCACAATGAATCTCTGTTCTTCCCTTTTCATACAGATTACTTAAAATCTTCCTCTTCTTTTCCCGTCCTTGTGTCTGTTTCTGTGGTCATACCATGCTTTTTTTAAAAAAAATCACTGTAGCATTGTAATGTAATTTGATGTCCGGGGATTGTGATGCCTCCCAGTTTGCTCTTGTCATCCATGAGGGCCTTTGCTATTCTAGTCTCTTCTGGTTCCACATGAATTTTAGGATTGTTGTTTCCAGTTCTGTGAGGAATGCTGTTGGTATTTTGTTTGGGATTGCATTAAAATCTGTGTATCAATTTTGGAAGTATGACCATTTTGAGTATATTGATTCTACCTAACCAGGAACAGGGGATAAATTTCGATTTTCCAGTATCCTCTTCAGTTTCCTTTCTCAGAGCACTATAGTTTTCATTGCAGAGGTCTTTCACTTCCTTAGGTTACTTCCCAAGTATTTAGTTTTTCTTTGTTGTATTGTGAATGGTATGATCTTCATAATTTCTTTCTTGATAAGCCTATTATTAGTGTACAACAATGTTATTGATTTTTGCATGTTGATTTTGTGTCTTATTATATTACTACATTTGGTTATTAATTTCAAGAGTCATTTGATGGATTTTTGGGTCTTCTATGTAGAGGATCATGTCTCCTATAAATACTAATTTGACTACTTTCTTTTCTGTACATATTCTTTTTTACTTATGTATTTATTTATCTATTTATTTATTTTTGCTTAATTGATCTTGCTAAGGTTTCAAGTACTATGTTGGACAGGAGTGGGTGATAGTGGACATTCTTGTCTTGTTCCTGATTGTAGAGGGAAAATTTTCAGTCAATCTCCATTTAGTATATAATGTTGTCAGTAGGTTTGTCATAAGTGGTTTTTATCAGATTGAGATAAGATCCTTCTATAATTATTTTTGTCAGTGCTTTTATTATGAAAGGATGTTGGATTTTTCTGAAAGCCTTTTCTGCATCTATTGAGATGACCACTTCACTTTTGTTCTTTCTTCTATTTATGTGATGTGTTCCATTACTGATTTGCATATGTTGAACCATCCTTGCATTTCTGGGATGAAATATACTTGGTCATAATGTATGATATTTTTGATGATTCATTGCATTCAGTTTGCCAGTATCAAAATCTATATTCATTAAAGATATTTTTTCTATAGTTCACTTCTTAGATGAATGCTTGTGTGATTTTTGAATCAGGGTAATGGCAGTTTCCAGCAATGACTGTGGGAGCAATATTTCCCTTTCAATTTAATTAAAAAGCTTAATTAAAAAGAGGAATATTGGAGTCAGAACTTCTCTGAAGGTTTTGTAAAATTCAGCAATGAACTCATTTGGACCTGGGCTTTTCTTTTCTTTTTTGGGGGGGTGGTGAGTTTCCAGTACCGGGAATCAAACTCATAACCTCACGCTTGCCAGGCAGGTGCTGTGCTGCTGAGCTAAATCTCCAGCCCCCTGACCTGGGCTTTTCTTAATTGGTGAGTTTTATTTTTATTATTGCTTCAATTTTATTGCCTGTTATTAGATTATTCAGTGTTCTTACATTTTTTGATCCTGTTTTGGGTATTCATAAAAATCTGGAAATCTATCCATTTATTGTATATTCTCCTGTTTATTGTCATAGAGATTTGTAAAGTTATTGTGAATAATCTTTTAATTTTGATAGTGTCCATTGTGATTTCACATTATTCATTTCTAATTGCATTGATTTAGAGCTTTTCTTTCCTTTTTGTGTTTAGATTGGCTAAGGATTTGTCTGGTTTGTTTAACCTTTAGAAGAACTCTTTGATTCATTAATTCTTTATTTTATTTCAGTTTCACTGGACTTCTCTCTTTTGTATTTTTTTGTTTTTTTTTTCTGGTACCGGGAATCAAACTCACGACCTCGTGCTTGCCAGACAGGCACTGTGCCACTGAGCTAAATCCCCAGCCCCTTCACTGGACTTCTGCTCTGATATTCATAACTTCCTTCCTCATACTAGCTTTAGATTTGAATTGTTCTTGTTTTTCTGGGAACTTGAGGTGGCTCAAGTTTATTTATTTGGACTCAGGTTGTCTTTTGATGTGGGCATTCACAACTATAAACTTCTCTTTGGGGTCTGCTTTCATTGTATCCCATAAATTCTGGTATATTGTGTTGGCATTATTGTTTAGTTCTAGAAATTATCTTATTTCTTCCTTTATTTCCTCTGCAACTTGCTATTCATGAGTACTGTTTAATTTCCATGCATTTGTATAATTCTGGTGTTTTCTTGTGTGGTTGATTTCTAACTTCATCGCACTATGATCTGATAATATGTGTGGTATAATTTCAATTCTTTTACATTTACTTAAGCTTGCTTTATTGGCTAGTATTTGGTTAACTTTGTAGAAAGTTACATATGTTGTGGAAAAGAATGTTTACTCTGTTTTGGGGTGGAACACCCTATTGAGATCTATTATATCTATTTATTTGAAGGTTTTGTTCAACTCATATATTTCTTTACTGAGTTTTTAAATTGATTTGTCTGTCTGTGATAGTGTGGCACTTGGATCCCCCATTACAATTGTGTTTATGTTTATTTGGTCTTTCATGTGCAATGTTACTTGTTTTATAAGGTTAGGTATGCCACTGTTTGGTGCATTTGTATTAATAATTATTATCTCTTCCTGTTGAGTTGTTTCCTTAACCAATATGTTTGCTTCTTTTGATCAGTTTTGCTTAAAGTCCACTTTGAATATGAGATAGCTACATTTGCTTTCTTTGGGGTTCCTGTTGCATGGAATATTGTTTTCCATCTTTTTACTGTTAGTCTATGTGTTTCTTTTTGTGTTAAATGTGATTCTTGTATATGGTATACTACTGGGTTTTGTTTCTTGACAGTTCTCCTGGTCTATGTCCTGTGATTCATCTGTGTCTTTTGATTTGGGAATTGAGACCTTTCACATTGAGAGTTATTATGGATAGGTATTGGATTATTCTTATCATTGCCTTATTTTCTTGTTACTGATTCCCTCTTTTCCCTTTTACTTAACTGCTCATTCTATTTGGTGTATCCATTTTGTTAGACCTTTTGTTATTGTTGCATCTCTTTCCCAAGTATCCTTGAGAATATTTTGGAGCACTGAGTAGGGGGTCATAAAATTCTTTAGGTGCTGTTTATCATGAAAGTATCTTATTTCTCCACAAATTTTGAAAGATAATTCTGCAGGATAAATCACTCTGGGTTGGAGAGTGTGGTCCTTGCTGAAAGGTCTTCTGGCCTTTAAGATTTGTGTGGAAAAGTCTTCTGTAGTTCTAATGGGCTTTCCTTTACAAGTGATTCATTGCTTCTCTCTAACTGCTTTTAAGATTCTGTTCTTGTATTGGGCTTCTGGGATTTTGAAGCCCTGTGAGCAAGGGTTCAGAAGGTGCCACACATTCAGTAGGGACCTGCCTGCTCCCGTGGGGGAAGGGCCAACCCTTTTACCTTTTACCTGGTAGCAGGCAAACTACTCAGGAATGAAGGGCTGCTCCATGAGCCTCCAGATCCCTCTTTTCTACTGTTCAGGTCACTCTCAACATGTAGACACCACCTCATGGTCCAAGGTAGCTACTCCAAGGCCTACTGTCAGCTTGCATTCCCGTCACCAGACAGGGAGAAGTGTGAGGAAGCACACATTCCTTTCCTTTGTGCAGGCTCCCTAAGGAAGGTTATACACAGCCCTTCCTCTGGAATCTCATTGGGAAAATAATTGCGAAAGTTGTCAAAGCTCTGTTTTAAAAATAGGCTCCAGTCACATGCGGTTTTTCAAATAATTTATGCTAAACCAATAAAGGACAAGTAATTGCTGTACTGCATAACTCTTTCAGAGTACAAAAGACATGTAAATCTCCCCATATCGTTCTTTAAAATAACATGTTCATATCAAAAGTAAATAAGGATAGCTCAAAAGCACAACACTATAATCTCATTTATGAACATTGATGTAATAAACCCAATCAGTTTATTGTTAAGCTAATATATCAGACTATCAGGAATACTAATCATTCTTCTTGGCCACTCAGTGTCTGACAACATTTCTTTAGGCAGTTCTCAAATTCTCATCAAAGAAGTTGCTTGTGCAATGTATTTTCTTTCCCAGCTTCCCCTGAAGTTCAAATAACATGTATTACCTGGAGTTTGCCCATCAGATACTATCACCTCTGGGTAAGGTGGTGCAAGGCAGGGACTGAGATGAAGAGGCAGGGACTTAGAATCCACGCACTGATGGTAGAGGTTACATCCAATCAAAAGTAGTGGAGTCACAGGGAGTGTC